AAAAATATTGTACGTGGAGGATATGAAACAAAATATTTTTTTTAGGTTTTATATGTACATTCAAATAACTAAAAAATACTACATTAATACCATACAGAGAGATTCGCATGACTGTGGAACAGTTATTATTCTGCTATAATGTCACCTTTTATGAATATTTTCCATTTCAGTAAATTTTAAAGATGATAAAAACATTGCAAACTAAAAAAAAAAACAACTTTATTTAGTTGAAACTGTTTTACTCAAGTAAGTAGTCTTTTATTAAAAAAAACTGTTTAGAGTAGATTTTGAAGCTTGGAAACACCATTTTAAGAAATAAAGTCCCAAAACGGTTTCTTTTTGACATCTTAATTCACATTTCATATCTGACAAATGTAGTAACAGTTATATTTTTTATCCTTTTGTATTTTTATGTGTACCTTTAAAATGTCTTCCAATGGTCACCAAATAAACATTTGATTCAAAAAATGTTAAATCCTGTCATGTTGTTTACATTTCTCTAGTATTTTTAAATCATGATGTAGTGTAAGTGATGCAGTGTAGTGATGTTTGAAGTACATATGAAATTTAAACGTGATATGTGTGTGTATTAACATAACATCAATCAAAATCAAAACACTGCAAGGCAACAAAACTAAACATACGTATGGAATAAAAATCAATGACTACATACTTTGTTTTAAAGAAGAAGTAATATAAGGAATAGATGTACACGTAACCTGCAGTCGAAGCACCTGACAAGAAGCTAGCCCACTGCCTAAGGGAGAGAAGAAAAAAAAAGAACATTTAAATTTCAGAATATACTGCTGTGAAAAATTAACTTCACATTTTATGTTATTACCAACTTAAATCCTGATGACTTGTATGTAGCAAGTTGTAAAAACAGGATGTTTGTACATTGAATGCTCAACATTCTTTGTGTAGGACCCATCCAATTTTTAGTTGTAATAAAAAAATGTATGTGGTTGAATTTGTTTCTTAGTATTTTAGTTCTATATGTCTAATTTAAAAATATTTTATTGACAGAAGAACTACATAGAACAACTTTAGACATAAACAGGTCAAACTAATACTAAAAAGTTTATATTTCTTGCTCTATGTATATTGATGATAGGAACATGATCAAACACACTTTCTCTTAGGAGCCAATTTACATTTGCAAATAAAAATTTACAATTAAACAAAGTGTATGTATGCCAACCAAAGTTGAAAGACCAAGTTAAAGTTATTAATTAAAAAAAAAAAAAAA